AAGCAAAGCTAAAGACGTACTTCAAAAACTGCAACTGTGGCAAAAATGTGGTTCGAAGTCTTAACTCAGGAGGGATAACACAAATGCATGCTATTTTTCTCAGTTTTATTTGTAGTCATTTCCAATAAAAATGTTATTCCATTTCACAATTATGTACTATTATGATGTTGATGATGTTATAAAAACAATAAACACTAGAATGTATGTTTAAAATGTAACAAAAATGTAAAACAAACAGTGGGTGTGAACATTTTTTGAAAATGAAAAAATAAATGACAGTTGATGTACACTTTCATCTAAAAATTAAAGTTCAGTACAGAAACATTGGTCAACAATCAGAAGCCTATGTCCCCCTAGTGTACTCTACTTCCTTTATGAACCCATCCAATGCATTCTGCGTTTTGAGGCCTCAGGATCATCCACGTTGCTTCTGCTGTTTTTTATTTGTTGAGGGCTGGCTCATCTCTTTGGCTTTCTGATTCTGTCAGTGTCCATGCGTTCTCTCCCTGCTCTCACAAACAGAGACAAGACCACTGCAGTTATTTGCCCACTTGGTTCTGAAGCATCTTAACTACAGCCCTGCTTGAAAATGTAAACAGGAGAATTCTTAAGCAGACGTCATAGTCACCAGCTAGTTCTCGGCGTCATATTTTATTTTACTGGTACGAAAGTATTGTAATTAATAATACATTTTTCCATGGCAGCTCTGTTACAAGACAGGATTATCACTGACATGTCAAACAGAACAATATGCGCTGATTACTTGAAATCCTATCAAATTGTGCAGAAAAGAGAGATGTTTGATTCCTTTGGAAACCAGGAGAGCTTAGAAGTGCTGATGTGGCTCCTATGTGATGGATGTGTCTCCCCCAGGGGGAGTCGATGTCTTTTAGCTTTACTGTAAATGTTTACATTCCTGGACTCGCTGATGCTATCTGCTAATAGTTTCTAGGACTAGCCTGGAGAGTTGTCTGGGTGGGATTATTTGTAATGTGTGCGTGTGTGTGCATGTAAAGGATGCAGCTCCGTCTTTAAATAGAGGCATCAACCGTGACTCCTCTCTGTCCTGAGACTTGACCTGCGTCTGCAGAGGTCAGCACGGAAACAACAGAAACACACACACTGCGCCATATACACCTATAAAATATCCAGGTTAAAGTTCTGATTAATAATTAGTCATAGTTTTGCTCTTTTTGTGACAGACTTGACTCTCCCACTGTGTCGCATGAGCTCTAAATCTATTCATTTAGGTCAGTGGCCTCGGCCGGGCCATTGTGTGGGGAATCTGCACTTAAATCAACCAGTGTCTCGAAGACATTATTCCTGCAACAATCAGAGCATCAGAAATGAGTCACTGCTGCTTCCCAGGTGACATGCGAGGATACTCAGTCAATAGATGTGTATCTTGAAAGAACAGCCAAGCGTGGCTTAGGTGGAGACCTCCATTCCTGCGTTGCAGAGCAGAGAGACTGCCCCACCCCGCAGACCTTTATCTCAACTGAGAAATCTTCAGAAACACAAAGACAGCAGGATATTACTTGTCTCTGCTGGCTTTGATACTCATTGTTCAAATCTTCCTTTTAATACATGTTGTGTTATGTAAGTTGCTCAACTTGGTGTTGAGAATTCAATGGAGCAGACAAACATCTTTTGGTTGCGCTCGGCTTCATGAGTACGTTTAAAAAAATGCTTAGAAAAGACACACGAGCAAGACACGTTTATGAACAAAAGTAAGGTGTTTTTTGTTGTTGTTTTGTTTTGTTTTTTTAGGATTCCTTGTGAAGCACATTCCTGTGGAGAGGCAGTTGGTGTTTATATGGGGGTGATGGAAGTGGTGAAATTTAACCAGCCTAACTGGAATTGAAGTTATACAACCACTCTGTTTTATAAGCAGTAGATTAGATTAAGTGAAGCTCAATAGACATATTTATGCAGAAAATGTGGGGATTACCCTGGTGATTCATCAGAGATGCCTGAACTGAGATTAGACCTGCAGCTCAGTGATTCAACTCTGACATACAAACCAGTCATGACCAGTTATGAAATTAACACTTTCTCTCTTTTTCCATTTTTCTGCCTTGGTAATGAAGAATCAGTTTCCCTCTGTCCTAATTTATTCCTCTCCCCTCAGTGTGACTTACTTTCCAGCACAGAAAGGAAGTAATTATTAAAGGTTGTACAAGTGTTCTTCAGACTTTCAGCATGCAAATATATTCACAATGTCTGTGCAATCTGATATTAACCAAGTGAGAGCTGTGTTTGTAAGCTGAAAGTGCATTTGAATAAAGGCATTTGTACAGAGAACAAGCATATGTCATGCATGGAGAAAAAAGTCTGATAACAAATGTAATTACTGTCTGTATTTTGACTCCAAAACCCCATGTTCGTGTCACAAAGCAACATTCTATAACAAAAAAAGTACCAGTAAAAAATATTGCTTAATCAGGAAATTGTGTCTTTTAGTTCTTCCTGCAAAAGGGATTGGGTTTTCTGGCTTTATAAGTAAAGAAAAAGAATGTGGTACGAGCTTTGGGATTGTTTGTGTTCATAGTATAGTGCATGTTTTTATGTGCATAGTCATATTTTCTTTAGCCTAACGATCTAGATTTTATTGTTTCAGCCAAACCAAAGTTAAAATAAACACAGTCAGCCCAGAGTCAGATGGGAGGAAAATTTGAATCTGCCTCGTCTTATCTAACTCTTCCAACGTCCAGATGCATTTTTACCTGCATCACAGCTGCACGAGTGGTGTGGATTGAGCTCGTAGGTTTAGTACATTCACTATTAAACCAGAACAAGTATGCGTTCTTATTTTGCTTAATCAAAATAATGAGTAAAAGTAAAATGGCAAGCAAAGCAGAAGACATAAAATGTGCGACAAATTAAAGTTCATGACCTTCCATGCCCTGCTGCCTTTAAAAGCAGACTAATAATACCACTCTAAAAACAAACTCTGTCTGCATGCAAAGTGTTGCAAAATATCATGTTGGAGTTAATTCTTCAGTGACAGGTTGACAAACTGCTCTCACACACGATCCTTTTCTCTTTTGCATTACTGTAATAACTAAAACACTTACATAGAAACACTTTATATCCACGACTGCAAAACCTGTAATGTATGTTTTAAATGGTTTAAAAGGTTAGCTCATTTTTACCAAACTTTTTTTTGGGGGGATTTTTGTCATGTTTAACAAAATCTGGTGCATGTCATTGTGATTTTATCACTAATGTAAATTAATGCATAATTGTAAAGTGGACAGAAGTTACACACTATTTCATCGTCTTTTTTATTCAGCGTCTCATAATTCGAATACCCTGTAATAAAATGCAGTGTAAGTAACTGCCATCAGAAATCCACATGCATAGCATTTAATCTCAAAGTAACATTTGTTCTGTGAAAGTCTCAGATGTTTCTTACAGAACATTATTGAACAAACAGCCTCATCTATACCACGGAGCACAGGAGGAAGCTAAATGTTAAAACTAAAACATAAAACAAAAAATGTTCCAGTTATTAGAATTTAAAGATATTGGTTATCAAGAGTGAAGTTTCCTGCTTCCGGCAGTTTGATGGATTCCTCCCCCTCCTGGTGTTGCATCATGACAGTTAATTCCCCCAACCAGCTGTGTAAAGGAACAGTATTAAATATTTTCCAGACACCTGGTGCCATTTTGTATCACAACCAAGTGACTGTTACCTTCACTTGTTTTAAAATTGCTGTGTGTATCAAATATGACTTGAAAGAAATTTGCATCGGTTCTTAGAAGCGTTGGAGTGAGTTGTTTGCATTAGAAGCTCAGCAGACTCCCAGTTCCACCAGGAGTCTGCTAATGCTAGTCTAGGGGAGCTTGATGAGGGAGATGTGGGGAAAGGGACCTCATACTCTAATGGATGCCACAACAGAGTCAATGATTTATCAAATTTGCATGAAAGAATAAAAGCAACAATTTATGTATGTTTTTTGACAAAACATGACAGAATAATCTAATGAGCAAATATACTCCACATTTTACTGTTTTTCTTTTGCAAAACACCACAAAAACTATCCGTGATCTTCCACTTCACAGTGATACATTATTGAGTGTTTGCTTTCTTTTATTTTCTATCGATATGTGCAATAACTTTTATAAATTGGGATTTTTGTTTTTTTATTTTCGTTTCAGTCGTGCTCATTGCGCCAATTCCTTCAACATGAGGGTGTTTTCCTGTCAGTAAAACAGTGATTAATGTGTGCTTCCCTGCATGGGGGGAGGTTGGATGGTACAACATCTTCATGGTTCATTTGGCCTCTCTGACTCATTCATCCACAACTGGGAAAAGAACTAAACAACATTCTCCTTTGTTGTCTCACAAAGGAGTATAAAAGAGTTCACAACTCTTTTATATGAGCTCAAAGACATATATATGACTGAGGTGTTAAAATCCTAAAACCAGCACTTTAGATGCAAAACCAAATCACACAGACAACAAAAACTAATTTCAGTCCTCACTAATTAAATGTTTCATAAGGCACAAAACCCCTTCAACAAAGCTCATGTGCCAATGTTGGTGTTTCATGAAGTTTTAATGATCATTAAATATGCCCCATGAGGAAAATCAACAATTAAATTTGTGACAGATGCTTACTAGATTTCTCTCATAAAGGTAAGATTTTCACTAGGTAGGTTTAGAAATCGTACTCAGGTGGTTTATGGAGGATTGTAGAAGCTGCTGCAGTGAGAGATAAAACATAAAAATGCAAACTATATGCTGAGAATAAACTTCAGAAACTGTTACATGTTAAGACAATATGACTTCTGCTTCTCGTCCAATGACCGCTAGAGGCACCATGAGACCCACTCCCGGTTCAAATCTCAGCAAGCTCTTCTCAAAGTTTATTTGTACAATCCAAAAACAAATAAAAGGTCAATCATAAGCGTGTTGTTTGTTGTTGTTTTTTTCTGTGAGGGAATAAGAAAAATGAAATATTCAAATGTACAGTAGAAGAATAAAATACCACTGAGAAGCAGAATATTTATTCATGGTGGAACAAAAGATTTTTGTAATCAATTCAGCAAGGATTTGATTCAATAAAAGGGGGTGACGTTTTTTCTGCTCTCCCAAAATTTGGAGAGTTACTCCTACAGCAAAAATAAAAATACATAATTACTTTCCTTTTCTGACACCCGTATGAGCTGCGTGCAACTCAAATGACTTCAAAATTAAATCTTGGAGAACCTAAAGAAAGTGTCTAACTTTGAAAAAAGCATCCAACAAATGTTCACTTTCAATGTTTTTATTATTATTATTATTATTATTATTATTATTATTATTATTATTATTATTATTATTATTATTATTATTATTATTAAGTAATTGCTTTTTGCAGAAGAGCGTAAAAAATGATTTTCTACAAAGATTCACATGTGAACTTTGCAAGACATACAAACATTAGAAGGTTCCTCCATATAACCTGTCAGTGCTGTAGGGCTGGTAGCATTGGTGTAGGTAGTGCTGATGGTACTGATAGCCGTGGTACAGTGGCACAGTCGTGGGAAGGTGGGCTCCACTGCCCGGAATCCACTGCTTTTGCTCGTTTCTCACCAGCACTTTAACCGCCACGGTCTTTGGAGAGCTGAGCGCCGCCAGGTCCGTGGCCAGCTGGCGCCGTTTCGTTTTGTACCTCCGGTTCTGGAACCAGATTTTCACCTGCGTCTCTGTGAGCTTCAAGGCGCACGCCAGGTCTGCCCGCTCGGGGCCAGAGAGGTACCTCTGGGCGCTGAAACGGCGCTCCAGCTCGTGGACCTGCTCGTGGGAGAAAGCCGCTCTGGAGCGCTTCTTCGCAGCGGTGCAGCGGCGCTCCTCGGGGGAACAGCTGGATGTCTCCCCGCCGTGGTGGTGGTGGTGCAACTCCTCCATTCCTGCTTCCACCCGGTTCCTTTCCACATATTGCATGCCTGCACGCTCTGCGGTGCCTGACAACAATGAAAGTCAACTATTAAAGTTTTTTCTTTTTTGTTTTTTCTCTTTATTAAGCCGAATAAAGCCAATGTATAATCCTACGTGGAACTGAAAATCAATGAAGAAAATTAATCTTAAATGCCGTTTACACCATCACCATTGCTTCCGAACGGTTTTCCATCTTGTCAAGACATTTAACACAACCTCCTCAAAAAACAAAAACGACAAAAATGACAATAATAAAACATTCCATTGAATTAAGCTTAAAATAACTCGTCAATAATTTTTGTATTAAAATATTCTCCATTGACATTTTATTATTTAAGATAAGGTGAAGGAAAGTTGTCTCTTGCACAATTAATAATTAAGCAATTTTTATGGTCTTATCAGAAACTATTGAACATTGTAAAAGACAAATACCAAATACTAGTGTATTTCTCCTGTCCTTTTAGTCATTTTCCAGACATGAATTAGGTACGCCACAGTTAAAAAAATTAAATAGTCAAATTTAAATAAATGTTTTTTTTCTTTTAAATGAAAACCTTACCTTCTCTGAATTGAGTCGCAGCCCCTCCTTCTTTCTTGCCGGTGCCGGACCGGTGGCTGTCAGACACGCGCTTGCCAGGAGAAAGTCTTTTCTGAATGGCGTTATCAAGGCCCGCGCGTAAATTGCGCGCAAGTGCGCAAAGCTCCTCTGCGGCTGTGTTGCCGGGATTCCCGCAGGGAGCCTCCAGGCCGGTGAGAATGTCTTTGATCAAGAAGGTTGAAAACTTCGATGTCATGATGCACTGGAAGACCAAAGGAAACCGTGTCCGAACTCTGCGCTGCAGTTCATGGAGGCATCAAGTCATAAGCAGCTCCAAAGTCAGCTTCTCGATCAGACGTCTTTCTATTGCTTTCATTTATTTGCCGTCAAAAAACAAACAAACAAACAAACAAAAAAAAAAAACAGTCCAGTCCCTTAATGAGGAGTCTGTGCAAGAAACTGCCAAGAGTTTAAACTCTCCTCGATGAGAGCTGTAGTGAAAACGCGATAGGTTTTTCTCATCCTGCCCCCTCATTGGCGCCGCCCCGTTACAACCTTGGTGCAGCTCGCACAGAACAAAAGTGATTCCGCATTTGAGAAATTATTTTAAAACAAAACAACAACAAAAACCCCGACTTCAGTTCTGTTGAGTTGTATCTCACTGATTGTAAGTGTATCAAAAGCCACTTCACAAAATTTCTGCTCACAAAATTAAATGAGCACAAATGTCCATTTCAATCTCGAAATGACGTAATAAAAATATGAAAATAAAATAAACTAGTGTGCTGTGTCTTCAACAAAGACAAAGCACACTATGCATTTGTGAAACAGAGTAGCTTTATTTGTGTCCTAAATATAAATAAAATACCTCAATAAATTCAGTGCATAAAAATGAATTGGGCGTTTGTAAATAGGCTTCCCATTCATTAGTGTACCTCTGTAAAATAAAAATAAAAAAAATTGACATAAACCTAACTTTTGAAGCTATTTATTTTTGTTTGTCAATAAAATTAGTCATCCAATAAGCTCAAATGAGCGATTGTAGCGCCGCCATGTGGGAAAGATTATTGTCTTCCAAGCTGAGTGCAAATAAAAACAAGTGATAACAGCCCCCACCCAAATGGACAGAAAGGCTGTTACACAATCAGAGAGCCCAGCTCCAAGTTAAGGAGATGTGATGACAGATGCAGGGATCTGTCTACTCCCTGGGTCTTTGTGTTCTTCCTCTGACTAACCAGATAAATCTCTCTGCTTTCCGCAGAACCAGACCTGCTTGAGGTGTCACAACACGTCCAAGGGAAATTATGGATTTTTTTTTTTTTTTTAGAAGCACTGTCGTAATTTCAAATCCCTCTAAGTTAATTCAGCAAAGCTGGTTGAACAGTTAGCAGGCAACTTCACTCACCATGCAAAACTGTTCAAAACTTTTGGAGGTTTTCTTAGCATGCAGTTGCAATCAACGTAATCTCCGCCTAGAATGCATCACTCTGAGTCCACTTTTTCCAATTCAATCCCACTGAACACTCATAATTATTTTTGAATGGTAGATTTTTCTTTGAGGAAGTTAGCTCTCTGTTTCTAATGCTGAAGATGCAAAAAGTTGATGTGTCATTTTGAAATGCCGAGTGCATCTTGTGATCATTTGCACCGATTAAACAAACTGTTCATATTTAACCAATAAGGTCAGAGCAGAAATTCACATGCATTTTATTTGGGTCTATTTCAATCAATGTCAGTATAAATTATTTACATTTAGCAGCCATAATGCAATTACTCTCACTTACTCATGTGTCTATATTTTATCAATCAAACTGTTTATTAACAACATAATAACAAGGATTTAGCAAATTAACTTATGAAAGCAAATACATAAAAAATAAAGAATTAAAGACCCAGTAGCTCACAACACAATACGCCAGAAAATTCAGGCAGATGATATAACTGAATCAGAAATAAAGTTCTTGAATCTATTCCAACTTTGCATCGTCTGAGCAATTTCCTTGAGAATCACGGCCAAGATGTGCCATTATTTGGCCTTAACAATTTCAGAATGACAGAGAATGCTTGATTTTAGCCATTGTCCTGGGACGACTCAAATATGGAGACAGACTTTAGAAATCTATTCAGGTTAATTGGCTTGTAAAACTTTGTAACACTCAGGATGTGTTCATTGGCAGCTGCCTCAGAATTACAAATCTCAGTTTAAAGTTATCTTCAGTGTCATCTGTTGCTGAGCTAAATCTTCTTGCAACAGCAGAAACCTTCTTGGCTTTATTGTGAGAGCTCCTACTGTTTAATGACATATGCATCACACTCTTTGTATTATTTCATCTATCACCAGGCACAGTGTGTTAGAATAACCAATGACTGAATCACAATGATCATCAATCAAACTGTGTTAACTTTTCATTTGCTTCACTCCAGACTTTACAATGATAACATAATGTAAACATATCCAGCTCAACATTCCTTATCTGCGTTTTGTATTCTCATTCTTAACTTGCTTGGGGTATTTGGTTCGAACAAGTCATGCTTGATTTATCTGATGCACCATTTTTTTTCTTAAACTCTACTAAACTATTAATTATCTCTATGTGCCAATATCAACTGATTAGACACTTTGCTCAAGCGCTATTAGCCCCAAAATACACATTAGTTGGAAATAATACGAGAAGCATTACTATTCAGCTTTAATTATGACGTTAAACTTGAAAATAAAACGGAATCCTGACTGTGTTTTGTTCAGGCAAACAAACAGGACCACCAATACTTTTATTTTAATAAACAACAAATGGCAAAACAGAGACGGTTGCTGAACTTTTCACGACAATATCAAGGACATTATTTTGAACCGAAGCATTTCTCTGATTTTGAGTCACCACGTCACAATTTGCAGTGCAAACAGCTGCTCTCAAATGTGCAATTTTGAATTGAACTGTCTACTTTCAGCTGGCTGGTCCGATTTTTCTCTTCCTGTTGCAACTTAATTCATTGTTAACTTTTGCAGAAATGCGCCACGTCAAATTCTGCGCCGTTTTATTCTTTCGCATTTAGAAGTCGCCACAATATTTCCTTTTAAAGTGCATCCAGGCCAAAATGTGGGAAGCAAACCTTTCTGTACTCCCATCATTCATCTTCCGCATGAACGCGTTTGTTTTCCTCTCCTGGACCGTGGTTCTGTCCCCGCATCCCACCCCCCTTCTTAAGGTCCTTGAGTGGTTGCCATTGGAGACCTTGTCTGTTTTGGGAAACTCCGCGAGCTCGCGGCTCCGCGATGAGCAGCTATCTTTGGAAGCGCGCGCGATAGCGATCGCGGGCCGCCTGGCTTTCAGAGCGCTGGTGGCTCAGACCCGCTGCGTCCTCAGGCATCGCCGTCCTGTCGCCAGCTCTATTTACACTAGTGACTCTGCAGCACTTAGCGCTGACACCAGGTATGTCCTTAAACCGGCAGAGCAGTAGCCAGAGGAAGTGACCAGGGAGGCTATCAGAAGAGACAAACACTCTGTTTACTTTGCCATTCATCTCCATTAATAGCGTCTGAGCGTTCTGCCATGCCTTGTAGGTAAAGGTATTTGCTGAAGTCCGTCTCCGGCAGAGTGGGAGTGTTTGCAGTTGCGTCTGTTTGAGCTTGGGATGTGTGATGCGTCAAGCTTAAATTAGCTGAAAATTGTATTATTATTATTATTATTATTATTATTATTATTATTATTATTATTATTATTATTATTATTATTGCTGTTGTTGTTGTAGCAATTGTAGTGCATATATATATATATATATATATGGTGTGTTTTTTCCAACAGTATTTTGAGCTCTGATGGTTTACAAGCTGTGTGTGTTCCGATGATATCGGCTGTCTGGTTAATGTCCATCTCTGAATCCTGACCGGACGTAAGCTCCCTTTAAAATTTTCTCTGTTTCTGGTTCTTGTCTCAGACTTTCTCACAGGGGGAAGAAAAAAAATGCTTTTTCTTCTTTTTTTTTTTTTTTTTTTTTTTTGGTTTCAGAAATGTTGGAATACAACTCGTCGGATAACATTTTGGAGGGGTCACCTGAATGGACAGCGTGCCATTAGACACAGAGAGAGACAAACACCGAGTCAAGTTGTGCTTTTTGTCTGCTCTGTTCCTTCACTTCGTCACCATCGATTATTCTCATATTAATGCTCAGTCACTTGATCGCAGACTCGATCCTGATAATCGCCAGCTTTATTGCATTTATAGACGTTCAGTGTCATCCATAAAAAGAAAAAAAAGAACAGTAATAAACACAAGTAAAGCTGTACACGAGTAGTAAAAATCCCAACATAATACTTCTTTATACGCACTAAGCGCTTGCAATGACTTGTGGTTTTGTTGTGGCTCCATTGAAGCAGGCCCCTTCCTCTTCATCCAACATTTCATTGACTAAACTCCAGATGTAATTGTTTAAAAGCTAACTGTAATTCAGAAATGCAAACATCAGTTTCTGTTATTTTAGGATCACTTTACATCCATATTCTAACACTGCGAACAGCCCGAGTAGATCTAAAGAAATCAATCTTGAATATTGTCATTATTCACCCCAGTCTGTGGTTTATGGTTACTTCATACGCTACACCTACTTAAAGCCAACATATAGTTTGCATGATCGTAATCTTGAGTCCATTCATTAATCCGCTGAGGCCCGTCCCAGCTACCATGCCCGGATGCCTTGCAGGGATCCCTGGCAGGGTTGGATGACCGGTCCTTGAGGAGCCTGGCTTTGCGTCTGCGCGCCCAGGTTGCCCAAATTCATGTTCATGAACGCATTCGGAGCACTGTTGCTCGGCGGAAGTGCGGGCAAACTAGAATAAGTGCAAGAGTATGTGTTATTGTACGCAGAGTTGTTGTAGCTGTAGGCCGGGTAGTTGTAGCTGTAAGGGCTCGGAGCTGCCACTGTGTAAGGACTGTTATAGTTCTGCGATCCGGCCAGACAAGGCCTCCCGTCCCGGACCAGGACTGGCACCGCCACCCTCCGCGGCGGCGGTGGGTGGTGATGATGATGGTGGTGGTGATGGTGGTGGCCCGCGATCTCAAGCGTCTTGTCTTGCCGCTGCCTCTTGCATTTGTACCTCCTGTTCTGGAACCAGATCTTGACCTGGGTGGAGGTGAGCTTCAGGGAGCTGGCCAGGTGCTCCCTCTCTGGGGCGGACAGGTAGCGCTGCTGCTTGAAGCGCCGCTCCAGCTCGAACACCTGGGCCTGGGAGAAGAGGACGCGGGGCTTCCTCCTGGTCCTCTGCTGCTTGGTGACGGGCTTCTCTGACTCGGTGTCCTCTCCGCACTCGCCTCTCAGAGCACCACAGCTTTCTGTTGAGAAAATAAATAAATACATTTTAGTTCAAATGTGAACAAAGTGAATTAAACTGAGATGAGTGTGTGTAAGCGATTTTATGATATTGGAAAGATCTGCCTGTATTTTATTTTATTTTATTTTATATGAACTGATATTTGTCCTGTTATTTATGCGCTAAATAACTGAACTGAATTAACCACGTAATCATATGGCCTCATTACCTAAATTTCTTAAACTAGTGTTTAGTAAAATAATGCATCACTGATATTTCATTTCGTTTATTTATTAATTGTTTGTATTTCTAAAATATCACATAGAAAATTAAAATAGAAAAGTGATGAACATTAAAACGTTAAATGCACTTGTGGAAAAAGTCAAACATAAAATTCAAGACCTTTGCAAACTCAAAACCTGCTCATGTTTAGTCAGGTAAATTCGCGTATTTTTTAATTGTTGCCCGAGCTTCATTTAGCCTATGGTTATTACTAGGCTATAGGTAGACAAATGATTATAAAAGCTATCACGCATTATTTGTTATTATGCGCAAATTCCATCAAAAATCCCGACCTTTGCGCCGTTTATGTATTCTGACATAAACAATTCAAATGTAAAAGTTGCTGACTGTATTTTACAACAAGACGCTCACACTTCTGGGAGTATTCGCAGCACATATTATGTTAGCTTGTGCGCTTTGCAAGTTTGCAAATGTCCTCTTATGCCCTATTTACGCATTTACCGTCACTGTGATACGACTCACGTTGCCAAATAGCTCATGTACTTATGATAACCGCTCAGTTTTCCACTCACTGCCGCCGTGCTCCTCCTGTTCGCTCTGCAGGTGCGGGTCTCCGGAATGAATTTGCGCCGCGTCTCCGAACACGTCCGCGGTCAACCCGGACTCCGTCAGTCGGTCCTGGACGCTCAGCGCGCTGAGGTACGACATCCTCTCCTCGCTCTCCGACAGGCAGGAGCTGATGGGGCTGGGGCTGTCCCTGCCCGCCAGCATGCAGGAGGGCGGCGAGTGAGAGCCGAACGGCTTGTTTGGGAAGGATCCCGGCTGTGCCAGCGCGCCGGAGAGGCCGAAGCAGGAGATGAGCTGAAGCTGTTGCTGCTGAGACTGTTGCTGCAGCTCCAGCTTTAGAATGTCCTTCACTGAAAAGGGCGTGGTGGCCGCAGCTACAGCTGGACTGGGAATCATGATTATCATATAGGTGATTTTTAAGAAGCGCCACAAAGCCCAGAAAGTGATCCGATTTCTATCAGGCTTGCGAATAGAGAAGAAGGTTAACAGCCCGTGCGTAAAGCTGGAAAATGGTCGCGCTCTGCTGCCTTTCCACGCAGATCAGGGAGGGTTGGCTGTCTTTCAGCTGTGACATGCCTCTCCACGGGCTGCGCGCCTGTGGCTGGAGGGCTCACGCAGAAAACGAGAGAGGTCGGTCCTGTTTAGCTGGCGAACATTCAGTTATCTGGAGAAAGAGCTGGGTCAGCCGAGATGCTGTCCTCTCTCTTTCAGTGACGTTCCGCAGCGGGGGAGGGACTCCGGGACCTTCTGTAGGCTACATGTCTCCCTGCGTCAGTGACTGATTCCTAATTTATGACATTTTATTGACATCAACGACTCTTCTCGGGCTGCCATAGGTGTGAAAGGTAAGAACGTTATACGCATCCCGTTTTCTCAGTGAGCATTTCTATAATTACTTATTTTAATTTGGCAAATAATTCACACAAAAAAAAAATCTTATTTTTTTTTCACTTCACATCACCTTTTTGTAGCTATTTGTGCTGTAAATGCAGTGTGACCAAAGTGTTTTCGCTTCTTTGGCTCTTCCCATCGTCACCTTGATGGTTTTAAGATAAGCAATACCTTCATTTCCTGCCGCAGAAAATCATGACTGAGATAATCTATCTGCGGTCAACCAGATGCAAACCAGGAGGACTTGTTTAGCTTCAGTAATTGAAGTAATTCAATTACTTCTGGGAGACTCCGGATAGTGCAGGTTTAGTTTCTGTGAAAGTTTGGCCACGTGATGTTTTCCTTTTATTTGCGCACCAAAAGATAAAACACGTAGGCTAATACATTTTAAATATAAAGTAAAAATAGAAAAAAAACAACTTATCTAATATGTCTATTTTTTTTAATAATTTGTGAAAAATAGAGCTGAATTATCTCAGTCGGAGAAAAATGTTGATTCAGGCAGAGGAAATGTTATTCAACTGTGGGTTTTGTTTGCAGCAGAACGATTCTGTTGCTTCTTTTTTCCGATTCCACTTGTCTGAATCTAAGTGAAATCTGTGAGTGTTAAATTTGCCAGTGCTATGACACGCTTGAATTGCAACTGCTTTGGCGATATCTTTAAAACAGATCAAAGAGCCATGGTCACGCTTCTGTTGTTTATGTGGTATTTTATGCATTGGTGTCGAAATGTCTGATTACAACCGACGTAAAATAAGGAGCCAGAAAGAACGTTCTCCGGGAGAGAGATCAGCGGGTCAGATGTTTAGCACGTGGTTCATCCTTCTTCATCCTATTCCGTAATACTTTCAAAGTGAGACGTGGAAAACGTTTAGATAATTATCGTATGTGACCTTCCCGTTGAATATTCAGTACCACAATTATTTCTTCTTTTTATTATTTTTATTTATTTGTTATTTTTCATTTAAATCTCGACCTGCTTCATGAACAACACAAAAGCAATATTTTACTAATAAATAAATAAAGATAAATAGACAAATAAATAAATGTATCTATTTAAATAAAGAAAGCACTGCGTCGTTCATTTTTGTTATCAGTCCTTTTGAGTTTTAGACTGATAGTTTCCTTAGATTATTGAATTCTAATGAGTTCCAAGCCAATCTGCCGTCAGCTTACTTTCCTGCACAGTTATTAACTCATCACCTCATTTCCCTGCCTGATTTCTCTCTCACCTGTTCGCTGCTCCCTCCTGATTATTTCTGCTGGTTCTTGTTGTCTCTTCCTCCTCTCCGGTTTGCATTTAAGCTCTCCGGTTTGCCAAACACTCCATGAAATGACCCCCACTTCCTTCTCCCTTCCCCTTTCTGCGTTGTATGAAATGGACATGCCGAATTCATGTCTGCAGATTGGGGCTGCAGTAAACCTACAGTTTGTTTATTTGCCTTTGTCTGTTTCGCTGTTATTGTTGGTTTAGCTGTTTTCACGTTATGCCATACATTCGCAATACTCCTACTTTCGAAATAGAAATAACTGCTACCACTACTACGACTAATAATAATAATAATAATAATAATAATAATAATAATAATAATAATAATAATAATAATAATAATAATAATAATAATAAAAGGTGATAGTATTCTTGTTTTTCTGAAAGGGGCCTTGTGTGGTGAAACAGGACACCAGTCTCTATCTGTGGTAAAGTGCGGGCGCCAGGGTCTGAAGGCCTTAAACTGTGTGGAAAGAAAAGAAGGGAATGTCCACATAATCTCATCCGCTCCCCATCAGCAGGGCTCTGTTTAGATTAGAACTCCGTCCTCTCCACTCTTCTCTTCTTCTAGAGAATTTGAAGCTGGCTATTTACCAAGGGAAAGATAAGCAGAGGGCATTTACACTTTCCTCCATCGAAATGCGCTCCTGGTTGCGTCTTTTGGATTATGACGGTAGCGCAGCATCTCTTGTAGATCCAGCGTTCATGTTCGTGTGAAATGAATGTAATTGTAAATAGACAAGGGAAACAACCGACATTATGGCGATTTATTCTGAGTATAAGCTCTTTGCGTGCTTTTACGCGGCGGTTGGAATCGGGGCGTAAACATCGCTCTGAGGCTGAAAAGTCACTCATTCTTTTCCTAATAGCTCACTCAGCTTTCAGCCTTAAACGCCTATGCTCGCAGCCTCTCCACTGACCACCAACACCATCATCATCATCATCATCATCATCATCATCATCATCATCATCATCATCATCATCATCATCATCATCATCATCATCGTCCTCATCTTCGCCAGCGGGCTTCGCGTGCCACCGGCAGCCCAAAAGTGGCCAAGCACAGGCGCGTGTTTACGGAGCGGAAGAGTCTGTTTCCTGCCTGTAACAAAACCCAGACGCCCAGAGAGTGTCAAGGAGCTTCTTGGTGCTGAGTGCGTCTCCCCCAATACATCATCTTCATCCCAGAATCAGCGCGATAAGACGGGTAAGGTCAGACCCGCAGCAAAGGTCACCAGCACAATGCGTAGGTGCGAGAATAACAACCTCAAGGAGACATTAAAACGAGTTTTCTTTTTCAAAAACAGTCGATGTGATCCATGATTTTCATCTCCTAAGAAGTTGCTTTGCCAGGTATTGATGAACGTGTCTATTCTTGTCTCCCCTTATCGCCGGAGACCTAAAAGCTCTTTGCCTCAGAGTGGCAGGTGGATAGTCATACCAGTACAGGGCCAGAATCCAATCCTCTGAGAGATTTAGAGTCGCTCTTTCAAGACAGAAAACCCCTGAGCTGAGAACGCAAGTGAGAAGTTGACTTGAAAGTGATTGCAATGAGACCTCTGCTTATGGTTTGCAACTACAGACTTTATACAGTGCTTTGCAAAAATACGTAAACCGCTTTATTAAAAAAAAAACGTCATAATTTTAGAATCACTAATTTTACAGTGAAGAGTAAGAAACCCCAAGTAATTCTTGAATTTGCCTGATTCCAGCCGAAAGTCTTTTCAAAACAGTTCAACCTCTGTCCTCAGAGACGGAGAGTTTCTGTGGTAATTTTCCATTCTTACCAAATATTGTTAATTAAGTCTTGATGACTTTGACTTGGCTATTCTCAAACCTGAATGAGCTATGATCTAAACCACTGATGAAAAATGCCAGTCCATAACTGTTCAATGTGTGTGCTTTATACACGTGAAAACTTGGTGATTGGTGGTACTCTATAAAATCTGTAAAATGATAATGCAATTCAGACACTTGATTGCGCTGTTAGACAGGGGGAGGCAACTTACAGTTGTACGGCTCCGACGAATCAGGAACATGGTTTTAGCTTGCTGATCATCCCATTATGGCCCTGGCTGTATGGAGTTGATCACAATGTTTAACTATGAGGTTGATGAGCTTAGGGCGATGTTCACCTTAACCTTTTCCTTCTCATGCAACATTTTTGCTATAGGCCAAAACGTTTGATTCATTTACTTATTTTCTAATATCGCCTGACTAGATTACCTTCTTCCACATGTTTTATCTCACCATTACTTCATAAAGGCCAGATTTGTTGGGTGAATCACTAGTAGTAGTCCTGTCAATAGATTCTCCCACCTAAGTTGCCAATCTCTATACCTGTTACAGAGTTAATATGGGCCTCCTTATTACGTCTCCTCATTACTTATTTTGCCTCGCTTGGCGGTCACATCTAACCTTCCTTTAAACTACTTGATAACTCCACACATCCGTTCATCTGTTATCATATATGCTTATCCTCAAAGAGGTTGTGAGGGTTGCTCGTGCCCATGTCCACCAGTCAATGAGTGAGAGGTGGGGTTCACCCCGGACAGGCCGCCAGTCATTCACAGGGTATACTTGGCAACCTTACTCCTATTCATGGTGCTGTGTGATTATGAAAATAGGTTATTTTCATAATCATGAAAATATGATTATATTTTCATTCCTGACTGATTTTATTTCCTGATTTGACTACTCCACAGGCTGTGAAAGATCCTTTTCAGCTTCTTGGATAAGAAAAACATTGTCACGTTTAAGTGAAAAGGTCCTTGAAAATAATTATAGGGGCAAAACCTCATACTAAGCATGGCTGATTGACATTGAACTTTCCTTTTTCCTTTATTTCATGGTCATCAGTAAATATGGCAAAAGACCAAAGTGTTGTGTATCAGCAAAGGCTCAGTTCTTTTAGGTCCCGGAAGTTGAGTCTTATCAGCAGGCCATGTGACGGTGTCAGTAGCCAGAACCCAGGCCTGCTCCATTGTGCCTCTGCCTGGAACCAAGTGACGGATGATAGCGTCTTCTCTCTGGAGGAAGTGAGGAGGCCAGAGGCGAGCCCAGAGCGAGATTTGAATTTTAGCTGAATCTTGTTCTCACCCACTTATCAGCTTTGAAAGTATCTAATACATTCCACATTAGGACCTAGCTCACAGGTCCGAGCAGTCCCTCAGGGCTCATTGTGATAACCATATTGGGGAAAAAGAGACACTAATTTGGCCGTTTACTTGAAAGACTGTGAGAGAGTGAACTGAACCCGTGCACTGTGTTGCTCAGAGACCCTGAAAGGAGGAAGTGAGGTCAAGACCGTCTGGGTCCCTTGCCCTTTGCCCTCCCAGGGGTATCATAAATTAGGCTGCTGTAATTCTCTCCCAGATGGCCTCGCCCCAGCAGGTGTGTGTTTGTATATGTGAGCATTAAGGGCCGGTTGTTAGGGCTGTAATATCTGTGACATGCGGTGGTGAGACTTTGTTTTAGGAGGAAACACCCAACCTAAATAACTCCATCCTCTGCTGCTGCTATTCC